ACAAATTAATTAAAGTCAATAAAGTGAATTAAATGTGGCCAGGGTCGGACCCCTTTTAATGGGCCAACAACTCCACTGCGCCCTACGCACCTCCATTGGCTCTTCCATTCAGTCCAAGTTTCAAGTTGTTTATGGCCAAGACCCGGGTGCTGCTCCTCCTATGAGTGATCATCATCATCCCCATCATAGTTGGCTGGCATGCACTTCGCTGCCAATTTAATGGCGTTTTTACAACTTGAAAGATTCGTGCCCGACACGCCGTTTTGAGCGATGATGGTTTCTTTTTGGGGGCACCCATTCCCTCGCTAAACGCACACCAAATGCAGCGCAGCGAATGTCATTAGAACATAAAAATGATATTAATTGCATGCGAGAGTGCAGTCCAGGGAACGGAAAACGAAACTGGGATCCGGATTCGGTTTGGGATTGCGGACGGGGTTGGGTTGGGTATGGCCAAAGACACTAGAATAATAAGGGCTTCAAGAAAATATTTTTCCTAAGCAAATATTAAGAGCGGCAATAACTATGTGTTCCGACAGTAAGTTAAACATTCTTCAGGCTTTAATTAAGTCAATTTGTACTACTTTGTGCAAGTAACACATACACTACATACATACATGCACTACATACATACATACATATGTACATACATACATACATACATACATATGTACATACATACATACATACGTACATACATACATACATACATACATGCATACATACATGCATACATACATACATACATACATACATGCATACATACATACATACATACATACATACATACGTACATACATACATACATACATACATACATACATGCATACATACATACATACACCAGTACATATATACATAGATACTTACACCGGTACTTACATACATACACCGGTACTTACACACATACACAACACATAGGAGAGACCACTTGAACTATTTTCGACTCTAAATTTGAAGACATGCCTTACAGTCCTCACCAGAACCAGTTGGGAATTATAGGGCTACAAGAAAATATTTTCCCTAAGCAAATATTAAAAGCTGCAATAACTATGAGTTCCGACAGTAAGTAAAACATTCTTCAGGCTTTAATTAAGACAATTTATACAACTTTGTGCAAGTAACACATACATACATACCTACATACATACATACATACATGAATACATACATACATACATACATACATACATACATACATACATACATACATACATACATACACCGGTACATACACTACACTCACTGCTCGACCGGTAAGAGAAATTACTTGAAATATTTTGTGACTCTAAATTAGAAGACATGCCTTACAGTCTTCACTAGAACTAGTGAAGAATTATAGGGCTACAAGAAAATATGTTTCCTAAACAAAAATCTATATTATTTGTACTCTGGCAATCGAGTACAAAGTACTCGTTAGTAAAAAGTAAAAACTCGAATTTTGGATTGCCTTAATAGGTGAATAAATGTACATAATAATGTTCATTATTCCAGTGTCTTCGGTATGGCGATGGGAATGTCGGGATGGTTTGTGGCAATGGCACATGGCATGCAACAGAAACGTCAGCGCTATGATGACGGAATACTGCGAGGTGGCGGCATGGAGATTGTCCGGGTGTTTGAGGAGCCAGAGCGATCTCTTCATCCACTTACAGGGAGTAGAAAATAGAATAATTGTGTTCCGGGAATCAACACATCAAAACGTGATTATTTTTATTTTAACTGAGGAAGTAATGCCAGAATTAATGAACTAGCAAAGTAGTTGAGTAATTGTATATGAATTTTGGCTTTAATTTGCTTATAAACTACTAACAGAACAAAATAATATCAAAACATTTTGAAACTGGTCCGTGTGACAGCTTTTCAATGGATTTGGGTGTTATAGTGGGCAGGGAATCGTGCTTAATCTTAGCTTACTAACTTTTAGAGTTTCCCAGATCCTAGCGGTTATACGGACATACGGACGGACAGATGAACGGACATGGCCAGATAAACTGGGCCAGGATCCTGATCTACAGCTGCTGTATCTACTGTATAGGAACGGAACTTTTTAAGAAATAGTAGAAGTTGGTATAAGCCCAAATGTTAAATTCGTCATTAAGCGAAGTATTTTAATAAAAATGTATTTGTTAAATGAACCGAAATTCATAACGTTCCATTTTGAACAAGCGCAACTAGTTTAATATAAAGAAATGTACACATATTTCCATACCTTATAACGTTTTTTCCCAGTGATGCAGTTGACACATGGAAATCCATGAATGTCCCCAAAAGCGCCAGAGCGATCCACTTACGTCTGAGCATTTTGTGTGGTGCTCTTTGATGGGGACACGGCTGCCTCAGCGATCGCAGAGCGCTGATAAATAATAAAAATTAAAAATAAATTAACACCTAGTAAAGATGCAGTGGACTGAAGACTGGCAACTCGGGGACTGCGGACTGAGGACTGGTTCCCCTGCTCTGTCATTACTTGGGACCTGGTTTCGAATGTAGCCGTCCGCAGACAGCTTAAAAATAGCGCAAAAGTAATTAAAAACGAAAATATAAAAGAGCAGGAGACAAATGCACGCACAGCCACGTCCACGTCCACATCCACATCCACATCCACCGACTGTCCCCTCTTGGAAAAATGGATATAAAAATAAAAATAAAAATTATGCTCGACTGTATTGAATTTAACAAGCGCAACGCCGATGCAGGCGGAGATCAAAGAGGACTGGGGCTCCATGGGATAATTTGCCCGAAAGTGTTGTCCTGCCTGGCCGATAATGATGATGCTAATGCAGTTGACATTTTATGTGGCCATAGAATGCCGGGCATGGCCGATAATTAAATGCAATAATAATTCAATTTAATTAGCTGGCAGCTGGTTGCTGAAGCTGGCTGCACGTCGCCCAAATGCCCCAAGGGGAGTGTTAAAATATTGATGGATTGATTAGCATAATATTTGTTTTATGATTCCATATTGTTTGGGGATTTGGTTTACGGCGGCAGCGGCGGCTAATTAAAACACCTTAAAAGGGCTCATTACTTATCCAGCATCTGTCAAGGGTGTTGATTATGTACTTAGAAGTTGTCTGGAAATGCAAACTGAGGATTCATGTGGATGTCAACTGGGAGCCCAGGATGTAGTTGACAGATGGCACATGTTTATGGGTTCAACGGTTTTGCATTTTAGAATCTACATAGTTTACTGAATGACCAATTTTAAAACTAATTGGTTAGGATATTAAAAGTGGAACTTGTGAGTTTTCAAACCATTAACACGACACCATTTTCATCGAGTGAGGTCACAGACAAACACCCGTTTATTGGCTGACAAATCCGATTTAGTGTGAGCTTTAAATAAGCCGCACAAACAGGCACTAGATATGGCGATATATCCTTGCCCAGGAGCTTCCATGGACACAATGTTCGTGTTGGAGATATTTCATTGAATCAATTATCGCTGGACATGGCATAATAATTACTGTCTGCTGCACACAGAAGCGCACACTTGCAGACACAATCCACCACCCATTTAAATCCAGTCCAACCCAACTCGACCACTCAACCACCCAACCACCCACCACCCAACCACCCACTCACCCACACACTGGCAAGGTCGCCCGAAGCGACGGAGCAGCAGGGACATGTTCATTTCTTCATTGATAACTGGAAGGGAAGCTCATCCTGGCCTCGTTACTTAACCAACTGTAACAGTCCAACTGAGAGACAGAGAGCCAAGAGTCTGGGAGAAAGAGACGGGCACAGGTAGTCAGAGGAGGAAGGCACGAGCTGACGCAAACAGCAGGCGAAGGATGCACGGTGCACTTGGAGAAATTTCACCTCCAGTCAGGGTAAGTTCCATGAAATGATATCCGTAAAACGAACTTAAACACTAGTGACATAAGCATTAACTTTAGTATTTGCAATATTACAAATGAATATAAGAAAAATGTACTTTCAAATTTATTTTACTTATACTTCTAATTAGACATAAGGAAAGGGGTACTAAGCGGGGGTACTAATTAATACATTAAAAACAAATTTTTTAAGATCTCGCTCCCGATTTGTCTCCGTGCAGCAGTAAAACAAAAATTTGCCCGTATTAAAGCGAAATAATGAAGTGAAAATGGCAACAATGTGATTACACACAGTCATAGACCCAAAGCCATAATAAATCGTTCCACAAGCGAGAGGTCAGATCGAAAGAAAGAGAGGGAGGAACGCAGTGAGAGCGAGTGGGAGCATCTGCGCACGCGCTGCTCGAAATGTTGCAGATACATTCTGGGCACGATGGCAATGGCTAACTTGTTGGATGCAGCTGCTCCACTCCATTCCACTCCACTTACACTTCCACTTCATAATTTCCTCCGGCGGGAAAAAGTTTTCGCTCTCGCAGCGATTTGTCTGGCAAACAATTTCCGAAATGCGATTGCTTAAACGCAATACGAAAAGTTATTAATTGAGCTGGCCGTAATGAGCTCATTTACAGATTGTAATGTGCTCCCATTACAGGCACACGAACAGCTGCCGATTTCGATTTCTCGATTTCTCGATTCTGAATCCGAAACACTTGATGGCAGGCATTACGCCGAGTTAAATGGCTTGTAATGACGACGACGATGGGGCGTTGTGAGTTCTGAGGGTGGGGAGTGGGGAGTTAAACAGGGCTAAATGTGTCCAATCACTCGGGGGCTACTGGGGCCTGAACCCGATTTGGAACAGGGCGAGCAAATGTCAGACAGCGATTTCCCATTTGTCACTGGCCGTTCGATATGGATATGACTACATCTAATGGATACACACAGTTCCCTGTAATCGCCCCCATTTCAGGAGGCTGGAGGAGAGCAGGCGAAAACTTTCTACCAAATGGGTTTCGAAGTATGGCAAATTTACACTTTGGTACCGCCTTCATTACCATCTAACAGCTGGTCAACACAGTAGCCCTAAAATCGAACAAAAATATCTTTATGTCACGCCGAAGGTTCTCATAATCACAGCGACATGATATTTAATTCAGTTCTAAAACAAACTCAGACACTACAACTACCAAACAGCACAACTGATACTACAGAAAAAAAACATCGTATTGAAAAGCAGAAACTCACAAAGCTGCCGTATTTATTGTTCAATTTTTTGGTTGTTTTTTTCTTTTTGTTTCTGTGACTGTTCCTTGCAATGGACACACTACACGAACACGAAGCCGGGAATCTCTACGAGGAGCAGCGAGTCGATCGAGTCGGCGACGCGTTGACTGCAGATGCGGGCGACGATGCGGACACATTGGAGGATGGACAGCAGCAGCAGCAGCAGCAGCATCAGCAGCTCCTGGGAGTCAATCGGCAGATGGCCATACTCCTGGACGCTCCTCAAGAGCCACCGATGGCGGTGTTTCCGGCGAGAGGAGGGCTAAATGGACCGCCACGTCTGCGCAAGAAACGGAGTTTCTACACCATGGTCAAGCCATCTCCGCCATGCGAGAGCCAGGAGCCGGAAATGTGCCTCCTGCTGGCCAGTGTCACGCGGGCAATGCGCCAAGTTCGGGAGGATCAGCGAGGCGAGTACTTTGCAAATTACCTGGTCGAGAACATGACCAGTCAGAACTATCCGAATGGTGTGGGTCTGCCACAGCATTGGGGTGAGTTCTGATTCGCCATAGTTCACCCATAGATCGTTGATCAGAAGGAGCTCCCTTGGACCGCGGAAGATCGAGCCAGCTCATTGGGAACCCACCTTACACTATGTACACATCCATATCCGCCACCCACTTGATATGCATCCTTACACCACAGATATCTTTCCTCCTAGACCACACTCCAAAAAAAAAGGTTACTTACTTGGGGCTTAAAACTGTTTGCGGTTCAATCTTGTTCAATAAACAACACGGCTTAGCAAACTTCTATTTTCATATTTGGTTTTCCAGTTACTGTTTTCCAAATTTATTCCACAATTGTTAACAAACCACAAGAGGTATAAGCAACAAAAAAAGTTGAAAGTTAATAAAAGCGCTTTCTGTTGATAAAATTGTCTATTACGAGTCTAAACGAGTGCCTTATTGCCTTTTTCATATTTTCAAATCGCTTAATAAACTTTTTGCAGAACTTCACTTACAGGTATCAGATTAATAAAGCATTTATTGTTCAAATAGAGGAGACTCCCCTTGCCGCACATGCCGCACATGCAAATCAAAGTTTTTGATTTGTTTGCCGGCAGAGGCCAATTGCCTGAAGGCTACCGAAAAATGCATGAAATTGACAATTAATAAACTTCAAATTGGAAGCCCCACATACGCCATGGCGCCCCTGCCCTCTCCCCTCCCCTCGCCGTGTCTGTGGCAAAAACAAAAGGATCTACAGGGCCCCAACAACAATTGCACACACATATGGACTATGGCCACTGACAATGGCCACAATGAACAGATGAACAGTGGGAACCAGGAGCCAGGGAACCAGGGAGCCAGGGAGCCAGAGACAAAGGCCGAATGCGGACAATTGCCCAAAGTGTAGCAAATAAATACAAAATGCAAAAGATAATTGCAATCAAAGCCACAAAATGTAGCCAAAAGGCTTATAAATTGTGGGCGGCGGGGGCTGAAACGCCGCAGGGCTGAGGAGGGGGCATATACAGAAGGTAAACGCATTTAATTTCCTAAATGTGCTTCACATGCCACAGCACAAAGATACACACTCGCATTCATATACAAATAGGCTGCAGTCAGTTGCAGTAGCCGTTGCCGTTGCTGTTGCAGTGTTGCAGTTGCAATTGCACTGGCCACATCACCCCTCCGCCCCCTTGCAGCAACACCCCAACCACAACAAGAACAACAGCAACAAGAGCTGCAGCAGCAGCAGCAAAAAGAAGAAGCAGTTGAAGCGACGGCAATTTACGGCCATTATTGCAACAGACAGCCAGCTTTATTATGTGCCACGCCCGCAACATAGGCACTGAAAACAATACTTTTCAATACAATCGGTCAGATATCCGTTACCTGTGCAATCAATATTTTTATTTAAAAGGGCACCAAATATAAATACATCGGCACTAATATTAATCCAATAATGTTTACTATGAAAACGAGCTGACTTTTAATATTAGGTATGTTTAGCTTTGAGTTGCAAAAAGTCCTTGATTACTCAAGCCCTAATTTATTGAATTTAAATTTAAGGGATTATTTGAAGTTCTATTGTTTATACATTTAACTAGAAACATTTTTACAGCATGGGCTGAATTTACTGTGATATTGCTAGTTTGCCTTCCCAGCAGCCGCTTAAAATGAATTGAATAATATGCAACAAAAGCCGCATAATTTAATTGTCCCAGTGCAAGGACTCCACCCCCTTTGCACCCCCTTTGTGACGCCCATGACAGGAAGGAGTGGTCGGGGAGGGGCAACTCCTTCTGCCATAACTTTTTGCGGCTGCTTTTAGGCTGAGCTTTTGCATTTGCTTTTTGGTCGCTCTGTGATTGCGTTGCAAATGGCCGCATGCAACAATGTTGCTGCTGTTGTTGTTGTTGTTGGTGGTGGTGGTGCCCCCGCAATGGCGCGCCTTCTAATTGAATTGCATTGTATTGAATTGATTTTCGGTTAGCTTTGTCCGCCTAATTGTTGCATTTACATGGGCGGGATGTCCATTTGAAAGCAATATACACAGAAATCAAATTAAACAAAAGTCGCGTAACAAAAGGAGTTATCATAATGGGGGGCAACGTTGCAAGCGTAATTATGACATGTTGCAAGGGTTGATTCATTTAGCAAATGCTGCAACAATCTGACAACCGAGTGGCATGGCGTTTTGCGTTCGAATTCCATTGTTTGACAGACGATTCGAAACTCTTTCCAGCACATTCGGCCCATTCTGCACATCAATGCTAAATGGACCCGAGTTATTGGGGTTGTTGCCTCGGTTTCCTGGCTTTCCTGGTTTTCCTGGCCTGGATGTTCCTGGATGTTCCTGGATATTCCACCCGCCGGCAGTTGAACGCACGAAATGTGATTGATGCTCATCCGCTATCGCCGAGCTCCATTGTTATGCCACGTCTTTGATCTATGGCCACCCTCCATCACCTGGGCATTGTTGAGTAATTGATTTTGCCTCACATGTCTCCATTCCAGCCGCCCAACCGCCCAACCACCCAACCGCCCAACCACCAAACCACCCAACATCGCCCCAAGTATTGCCAAGTTAATTTGGGTTCATCTACTCGCCGGCATGAATTCAATGTCGCGGCAACTTCTGCGATTTCTCCTTAATTATACACACACTTAAGTTCGCATTAATTATTGTCACTGAGTTCAGTTCCCGGGAAATATCCCCCCAAAAAAACTCAAATGGTCGGGATTTCGCCCGCTCAGCAAAGTTACATACAAACAATTACAGCGTTGCGGCGGGGCTAAAAAACTTTAACAAATATAGGACGGTGGCTTTAAATACTCTATTTCAGGAATTATTTTGGCCAGTTAGTTGAAGGTATTTAATAAATATATGTACTTTTCAGGAGGTGACCTACAATTCTGCTTGAATTTATGGATTAGTTTTGGCTCTTGTTTTGCTTTTCTATTCTATCGAGCTTTAAAATACATTTTAAAGATGCCATATTTTGGCGCAGTTAAATGGAAAATTCCTACATTTTCCTGGCTGTGCAGGTCGTTATCACTTCAGATGTTATTGTTTTGAAGTAATGCCCCAGTAGTGCTGTCTAGGGTATTTAAACATCACTATTGAGTTAAGCGCTTTACATATTTTGTTGTTATTCTGTTGTATTTATGTGGAAACGTGTGCAGAAAGTTTTCCACTTACAAACAATTCACAAGTAAAATACCTTGACTTTTGCTGCCGCTTCAGCTTCTGCTTCTGCTTCTGCTTCTGCCTTTGCTGTCCATGGAAAATGATGGGGGTTTTCTGCGGAGGAAACTGATGTCTGTGACTGCCATTACCAAGGCTCTTACGCCACTCTGATGGCCCTGTTTCCCCTCTGCCTCTGCCCCCGTCCCTGCCCCTGCGGCATATGGCACTCACACACATCTGCACTGAGCTCGTGTAGCAAATTGTTGGAAAATAAAGTAAGTACACCAGCAACATAAACAGCAGCAACAGCAGCAACATCCGCCAGAACGAATGGCAAACTGAGCATCAGTTGGAGGCACTTTCGAGGTAAGTAGCGTGGGTGGGCTGCAGTCTGGCTGGATTCCTTGTTTCTCAGCGCCAATCCCCCGCCCCAAAAGCCCCCCTTTTGGGACGCCCAAGTGGCAATCCAAGTCGGCTGTCTAAATACGAGCAAGCGATTTGTGTGTCTAGTTGCTAGTTGGCAACAACGACTTTGAGCCGGAGCCATGGCAATAGCTGCCGCGCCAATTGAGTTTATGCCAAATAATAATATTCACCTGCAGCTTTCCGCTGGGATATCCGCATTAAGTAGGTAGGTATTCCTCGGATGCATCTTAAAAATGCAGCTAATGAAATTACTTGAGTCGGCTTCTCCTGTTTCAGTGTAATAACCTAATTCCAGGGTACTATATTATTCATTTCACTGCACCCGGCCGACAGGAATTTGATGGAATTTCCTGTAAACAGGCAGCTCGCAGCAGACGGACAGGCGGACAGGCGGACAGGCGGACACACAAGCCACTTCCCTCGAATAGACAGACTCACAGACAACGCACACATACAGTGAACACCCTGGATGTAGGAAGGGGACACGAACTCCATTCGCAAAGTCTGACAAACGGACGGACGGACGGACGGACGGACGGACGGACACGTAAACAGGCTTATGATCAGCTCCTCGTAAGCGAACTTCTATTGGCTGTTCCTGGTCTTCTGTTGCTTTTGCCGGTTAAGCAAACAGGGCAAACGCCACCACAGACAATCAGAAAGGCATTCATCCAAGAGAATGACGAACACCAGCAACAAAGCCTGGCCAAAACACAGGGACAAACAGATACAGTGCTTTTTAGTTCTTCACAAATCTGAAAGATACTTAACATGTTGGCTTGAAATCCAGAATCAGCGGACTACAAAATGTTTGTGGCATTCGCTTACTGTTCTAAGCTAAATTAATATAATAAGGATGCGTAATACGAAAGGTAAATAATTTATCGATTCAGTACAACAGCTTAATTTATAATGCCATTCAAAATTCAAAAATTAATACGCAACATCTTCTGCCCAGGGCGCCATTTGTTTGCATACTTGAGCTAAAAGCCAGCACAGCAAAATATGGCTGGAAAACTGAGTGTCCCAAAGACAATTCTCTGGGTGATTCATCTGGCATTTTGCGAACTTAATTGATGGCAATTTGTGATTCGTCCGCCGCACTTCATCTGCACAAGAACGAGACGGCGGACCATTAACACATTTTAATCTGCCGCCAGGCGAATGGCTTTTGTGCGGTTGCTGGAGTCTCTGTGTATCTGAATCTGAATCTGAATATGAATCCGAGACCGAAACCGAGAACGAGACCGAAACTGAATCGGAATCGGAAGCTCCTCTGGCAACGAAAGCTGGCGCTCAGTCGCTCTTAATCATCAGCATAAGCAATAATGGGAAACAATTGCCATCTGCCGACTGCCAGACCCCAATTGCTTTTGCTTTTGCTTTTGCTCCGCTGTTGCTGTTGCTGCCACTGAAATTGCTGAGCTGAGGCACAAACTTTTATTGCATTGCCATGTCAACAGTCGTAGCAGCAGCAATTGTTATCCCTGTGTACGAGTGTGTGGCACCATTGCACTTAAAATGCGAATCCGAATCTGAAACCGACTGCGAATGCGAATTGTGACGCAAAATGAAGCTACTTGTGCGCCACTGGCAGCAGATACAGATGCAAACTGCGGTGCCACTGCCGCTGCTGCTGCTGCTGCTGCTGCTGCAGCATGCCACATTCAATTAGTGCAACAACATATCCTGCCAGCAGTTGATGCTGCTCTCTTGCACGGCAGTCCGTAGTCCAGAGTCAGTGCTACACACTTAATTTTATTCATTTGACAGTGCCACAGTCTGTGTCTCCGGCATGGGGCACATTCGAATCGCTGCCACACGTTCGCCAGCAATTAAGGTCATTGAAGGCAGCAGAAAAAGCTGGAACAGAAACTGCATCGGGCCAACAACAGAGGAAATACTTTTTAATTATGACATTTTATTGAGTGAACATTTATGCAAATATGACAAGACCTTTACTTTGTCGCCATTCAGGGTTTGGGGCGCTTTTAATGAGCGGGTTAACAGGGTTGAACGGGCCTGGCTTTTGTTGAAGCGATTTTGCATTCAAATTGGGGAAAAACGGACGAAGTTTGCCAACTAAGGGTTAACACAGTCAGGCCTCGAATGAACAATTTGCCCAAGTTCAGTTGACCCGTGCAGGTTACTTGAGCTCTACAGTAAGTAAAGCTAAAATATGTCTTTGTAATTGCTAATAATTGTATGTTGTCATTGGAATAGATTTATTTAAAGATAAAAGATTTTATTTTCGTTATTTCATAATTAGATTACTTACTGTACCTGAAAACTCAGCTCTGCCATCAGCTCCAATTATGTCTAATAGGAATTCAAGCCATCATCCTGCAATCAAATTTACGCCCTTTCTCCGGGAGCGGAATTTAATTTGGCAAATACATTTAGCCATCGCCCGAGCCTTCATGCATTTTTCACACATTTTAAATGTCGCAAAGCGCATAAAAATTCCATAAATACGCTAATGAAACACATGGTCGAGGACACACGCAGCCATCGGTGGAAAAAGGCGGAAAAGGGGGAAAAGGGGAGGAATGCGAAAAAGGAAGAGCCTGCCAGCAAAAGCGAGCAAAAGAGTTAAAAGGGAACAGGCCACCCAGGCAGCCAACGGAGGGGTACATTTTCCCACACCCTCACCCACTCGTCGTCACGGCAAATGCATTTCCATTTCATTTCCATTTATTTCAATTTCTTTCGCCATCGGTTTTTTCAGTTTGCCTGCTTCTGCTACATATACATTTATGGGCAAACACAAAATCGGATACAATTTTTGCTGGGCGCCTGTGACTTTTGAATGTATTTAGAGCAGCCAGAATAGCAGTGTAACGATAAATGTATCTGTATCTGCATTGAAATCCGAATCTCAATCTGTATCTGTATCTGTATCCGTATCTGAATCTGAATCTGAATCTGCATTCGCATCTGACTTTGAGCATGAGCCTGAGCCTGTCTGGGATATTTGGCTTTTATGCAACCATTTAGCAAACACATCATAAAAATTCAATTCAATTCTGTGTTTACGTCGGCTCCAGATGATATTGCTTTTTAATTGCGGACACGAGCGGAAATTGCTTTCACAAACAGCCAAACACATTCGCATCGGAGGCACCAGCCCCAGCACCAGTACCAGCATATTCGCAGCCAAATGGATACAAATGGGGGGCAGGATCGGAATGGGGCCCATTGACATTTCGGTTTGGGCTGGCTGAGGGGAGGCGGGGAGGGGGGGTAATGGGGAAAGCCGAGGAAAACTAGCTGCGGAAGTGCGTTGATTGCAGGCCTTCTGGGATGAGGAAAACTCCTCGTGCCATTTGCCTGACCTCAAAAACTTTGACCTTTTTCGCTGCAGTTTATTCTTGGGTTTTGTTTCGTTTTTAATTGCACCACATGCGCCATGCAATATATAATTGGAATCAAGTCCAGCGCACCAACACCCACTTGGACACTCAAAAAAGTGTGGAGCGCACAAGAATGAGTTTTTTATTTACCATAACTATGTCAATTTTGTATTTTCCCACGTCAAGTGCTTTTAAAATTCCTAATCTCGCTCTTATACTAATTTATATATTAAAACAAGAAGCGTATTATACCGAAATAGTTTAATTGCTTTTATCCTATTAACTTTGTAACTTAATAACATTTTCTTAAAGTGCACACGAGCGAGCTGCGCGCTCTCATTTAATATGAAAGTCACAGAATGTGAGCTAATTGAAAACACTTGCAATATTTATGAGCCGAGCAACATGTTGCCAAGCCACTTGACTTGTCAGAGAAAGAAAGAAATAGAGAGGGTGAAAGAGAGAGAAAGAGCCATTGAGCTGGCCACATGTTGCCAAGCTAATAAAACAACAAAATGATTTTATTATAATGGATTTATAACGCAGGCCAAGAGCAAACAGGCTATTAGACAGAGATACAAGACTTGGTCGTATTCCCGTGGCGGGAGAAAGAGAGACAGGAAGGGAGAAAAGGACGGGGATACAGCAAAAGAGAGAGATGCACTTTTGAATTGAGACGCGAATGCGGCAGTCCATTAAGCGCAATGTTGTTGTCATCGTTTAATGCTTTTGTTGCCTATTTGCCTTATGCGACTTGACAGCTCCTCTATCTTTTCTCTCAGTGCACAGAGAAAAAAAGTGCACGGCAGCAGTTATTTGAAGCTTGAAATTCGCGCAATAAGGACAGCAAATCGTTTTCAAAAGTTTGCAAGCAACCTCTGCCTCTTTTATTTAGGAAGTTAAAAAGTTAATTGCAAATTGGTAATGCCATGGATGGAAAATATTTCCAGTGTACGTCCGAGTGAGTTGAATGAGAGCAGTTTCAGCTTGCGTGTGCGCATTTGCAGCGATGTTGCTGCCGTGTCTGCAGCATAAACGGGCCCCCACAGCGTCTCCTTAAGTGGAGATATTTATAATAAGTTTATTTGCTTGTGCTCTTTGTTTTTCTCTAGCCAAAGCAATGCAGCAGCGTTAACCTTAACAACAACAGCGGCAGCAACGGCAGCGGCAGCAGCAGCATGCAACATGCAACATGTTGCTGTCGTGGCGGCAATGTTGCCCAGCTTGTTTGCCGCTGTTGGGCATTCACATTCACAATCACATTCGCAGTTGTAAATTGACGTTTTGCGTTAACGACCGAAGCGCCTTGGTCGTCGGTTTCGGCTTAAGTGCCGTCCCATCAGCAACATCGCGTGTGTTTCGTGAACTTTCCGCTCAAAGCAAGGCAAGTTTTGTGTGCCAGCATCATCACCATCATCGGCATCATCACCGTCGGAATCGAGCAGCATCCTATCCCGCACCCCATGCAACGCACAATTTGTTTTGCATGCAGCCTGAACATGACTTCATCAGTGCAGAGAAAAAACACAAAACCACTTTACAGTCCTAATGGATTATGTTTAATATGGAAATCATAGACCTGCAATCACAGTAGTAAGCACTTAATTACAACTCATGCGTCAGGATTTTGGTAAGTCCGAACTGAGTAAGCCTAAAGCTATGAAATGAATACTTCGAAGAAAAATTTGAAATTGTTTAAAAACCGATTAAGTACCTAGAATATTATATATATTTTTCCAAATATCAACAGTTTTAAGGAAATCTATAAGCCACAATCCATCCATACACAAGATTCTATATAAATAATACCAGTTCTCGCGAATAGCCCCACAAAATCATCTATTAATCTATGCAAGCACTTTATTCGTCCAAATTTAATTTTCATTATTTCAATTGAAATGTGTAGAACAAGATTGCTTTACGGCTTTCAACTAGTATACTGTGAGTTATCAGGAAATAAAACAATTCAGAGTAGCAATAAACTAAACAATTAAGCACATTTCAATCGTTTTATTTGACGATGTCATTGAATAATTGCCCAATCTAAAACAGCGACAACATGATCTAACTTTCGCCCTGTGTAGCGTGTTTATTTGAAGTGACTTCCACGACTCCCCGATTTTTTGCTCGTCGTGCTTCTATTCAAGTGTATCTAAATTGCTTCATCTTCGTCTGCAGCAACATCAGCATCTTGTTGATGCTATTCCTCGTTTCATATTTTCGCAGTTATTTTTAGTTCGCCGCCGCTGCCCTTTTCAATCCCTTTTCAGCGAATACCCAATTCAATTCAATTTGCAGCCCGTAGAATTTAAATGAGCAATCAGGGCACTCATAGCCCGTCCATTGTTATTGTGGCTCCACTTCCCTAATGATGCTGGCCTGAGCCTGAGCTTAAACTGTTGCTCTTGAGATCTGGATCTGAGGGGAGTTCATGGGCTTGGCATTCTCGGATAGCGGCAACTTTTCGTTGTTTGACTGTTTGACCACAATTGAAGCCGCATTAATCATTCGCAAATATATATAGAGCGCTTGCGATAACCTAAAAATAAATATGGCAATCATGAGTAATTGGCCTTATCAATAGCATAACATCGCCCATTAATAATCGCACCCTTATAGTTAATTGAGCTGTCGCTCCTCTTACTGCTTATAATTATTATTAATAAAATCGGAAAGCAACAAAAAAAGAGTGAAAAAAAGAGTGAAAAGAAAGAGGCACGCACACAATCTCACACTGCTGACTAACAACACAAATTGAATTACGACATTCCAGCAAAGACAATGAATGGCTTTTGTGTGTGCGGTGACCCAAAGCGACGTTCTCAGGAAATGAAATTATACACCAATTATTGCCAACAACAGCAAAAGCTTTTAAAGAAATTGGAAAGAGTAGCGAAGACGGACGGAATGGAACGTAGCGATACCCTATACGAAACGAAGCGATTCGAAATGTGAGCGGTGAATATGGCAACGAAATCTCAATAATTAATCAAATAATAAATCTCGGTGAGCAATTAAGAGGAGAAAGACAAAGCCAGCCAACCGAAAGGCCGAAAGCAATAAAAACCATTGAAAAGCCGTTGGCTCAGCATTAATTAGCGCTAAACGCCGTCGCAACAACAGCGGTAACGACAGCAGCAACATCCACGAGCGGCAGCAACATGAACTCCCCGAGCAACAGCGGCAGCATCCGCCGACTTATTAAAGTATGTACATATAACTCAATTATGGAGAATTAAAAACAAACTCAAAGGCAGGCAGCGTCGGCAGTTCGCAGAAAGCGGTGCACTTGGAAAAATTAGCTAAGAGTTTCAGTTAACTAGAGCAAAGGCCAAATACATTGCAATATTGTTCTAGGCAATTCTTGCAAAACTCCAACTCTAAGGCCAGACTTTAATATCTCTTAGAGTATTTTGCTATATTGCTTTTAGCCTACATTTTTCCAAGTGTATGGAGCAGCCGTGCGGCAGCAGCAATCAAAGCAATAAAACACATTCAGCATTTAATAAAGGCACCCCAGCAACATGTTGCAAGGGGCCACCAACGGCAACATCGTGAATTTGAATTTATGAGCTTCGCACACACACACACACACACACGCGCTCGCACACATACATTTCATCGCTCGCAACGAGATACAATTAAGCCGTAATGCATATGAAAATTCGTGTTTTATTGCCGTGCGTTATGTTCACGTGCGCGGCAACTGTTTGTATCTGTATCTGTTAATGTATCTGTATCTATATCCATAGCCGTATCTCCCTCGCTCTCCCGCTCCCCCTCTCACTCACTCTCTCTCTCCCTCTCTCTCTCGCTATCTCTCTTTCTCGCTCTCGCTGTGAGCGCAGCGTAATTGTAATTATAGTAATATGTTTTATGATGGGCCCTCGTTTAGCACCAACCCCCGCAACGCGTTTGGCCAAAATGTATCTAGATACATAATTGCCACATTCAGTCGTCGTTAAATAGTTGCACGGCGCAGTTCACACAAGCGGCAAAAGCAGCGCCGCAGCAGCAGCAGCAGCAGCAGCAACAGCAACAGCATAGCAGCAGCAGCAACACGCCAGCAACATTCGTGCTTTATAGCACTCGCACTCAGAAGTCGTTCAGAATTGCTGCCGTCGTGGTCCCGGTCGGTGTTTCGGTATCGGTATCGGATTGTTGACTAACTCTCTGTTTATTTGCCATCCGTTCTGGCCGTGTTTCTGAGCGCTTTTTGCGCTTTTTCGGCGTGGAAGCGAAGCCGAAACACAAAGTTGCCGGTAAATCGCTTGACCGACCGCATCGCGGGTCCAAGAAGTCAAATTCAATTTACGCGCCACGTAATTATAATTAGGCATGAGGCCATACAAGGAATGCCACTGCTAGAACTGAACAATCGACCCCCTCAGAGAGTGTACTATTTTAATTAAGTGTGTGCTACAGCAACAGCAACAGTAACAGCAACAACAAAGGCAGCCGAGCTATAACCACCATAACATAACAACGGCGAAAAGAAGTCACGCATGTGTATCTTTGTATCTTCGTATCTTTGTATCCGAGCTGTTTTCGTGTGCAGGAACGTGTGTGCGAACGTGTGTATTTGTGCCGCTTTGTGTCCATTAGTCACACATGAAACTAATTAGCATTTCGTCTGTTTGTTATTGTCGCGTTTGCTGGTCAAAAGAATTAGCGCGGCAAGAGCAGCGTCAAGCGCCATTAAGCGATATCTTTAAATATGTCTATATGTATGTATGTACATATATGATATTTATATATCGGCCTGGGATGGGACTGTTTTCTTTTATGATTTTCGCTTGGCATTTCCCATTAATTTGTTTATTTTCTGCCGCATTCCCGCCGACGGCAATCGGCCATCGGCCATCAGCCATCGGCAATTTGCAATTGGCAATCAGCAATCAGCGATCAAGTTTATATGAAATTATCAAAGAAGGCAGAAATTCAAGCGGCAGTAGCAAGCATCTTCGCTAATTGCTGGCTGGTGTATCTGCAAGATACTTTGCCGCTCACACCTCCAGCTTTGCTGCTCGCCAGCACTTTGTATCTGTTCTTTTTTGTTGTTTCCCCCATTATTGCTGGTTCGCACGCTCGGCAGGCAATTTGTCAATGCGAACGCCGCTGACAGGTTACGCAGCCGCACTGTTGCCAATTGATTTTCAATTGAATTTATGTGGCACAGCTATCTAGGCACTTGGACGTACTTACATATAAAAATGTGTATATATTCTCCCATAAATAAATTATGAAGCGTGTGCAAAAAAGGAAATTTCCATTTTCGCAAAAATATTTCAATTACTCAATTAAATTCAGTTGGCAAAAAGGTGTTATAAATAAAGCAAGCGCTCAATCGTAATTGAAGTCCACTTAATGGTCGACCGTGTGTTCGTTTCCCATTAATTACGCTGCACAGCCATAAACGCTCGTTGGCTTTAATAATAAATACTAAATAACAAACAATAAATAAGTAAAAGTAAATAAATAACTATATAATGGATATAAAGCGCTAATGCTGCCATTTAAGTGCCGAAAAGCTCAAGTTATTATGGTCGGCACGGTCAAAATGCATATAAAAATGTTAAAACAAAACAAAACAGTTAAGCACGAGAAACCCAGTTAAGTGCCAAGAAAAGCAGTGAATATTGGCTCTAAAAAATATGACCCCTTTATGCCTCACCCAAATTTCAGAAACTAATTTGTCGGTGCCGTCGGGGTTTTGTATGTCATTATATATAATCACTATATTTCCTGTATTTTAATCAGATTTCTAGCCATTTGCATACACAAAGTATTGCGACAAGTGCTCAAGCTACTTATTAAGAAGATTTAAAAATATACCAAGCAGATTTTCTCGTTACAATTAAAACATTTGTTAAGCGCAGTTGACACATTAAAATGCTCGCCACATTTAAATATTTTAGCGAGGCAAATGGCCAAATTGAAAATGAACACAGATGACAAATGAAGCAAAAACAGGGTCGCGATTCGGCATGCACATTGTTTCACAATAAATTAATGAATGCAAATAAATTTAATTAAATTACAAAGGCATTATAGCTGCATATAATATGAGTGCAAACGGCATGGAAGAGACAATGGGCTGCCAATTATGAAACCAGAACGCATTTCAAAATAATTAAAAATTAAATAAATGAACGACGTGCGGGCAATAACAAACTGTGCAGCTAAACTCAAAAACAGAAAAACAGCCAGCCGAAATACATTAAAATTAATTCGCAGTCGCCGAGCCAAAACAATAATCAATAATTGTCAATTGGCAGGCTAATGAATTAATTACATTTTCATCCCCTACCCACCCCCTCTGGAATGTTCCGTTTTCTTTCATTAGTCAGTTTTTTGCATCGTTTATTGTGTACATTTTTTCATTTGTTTTTAAATGACACCGCCATTGGCAGTTGCGTTTTTACCACTGTTTTTTTTATTTTTTTTGTATTTAGCTTGGCCCGTAGTCGCGGCAAAGGCAATTTAATTAGGGAAAGTGGATTAATTTGCAACTCGTTAGACTAATTAAGGATTATAATCAGCAGCGAAACCAACGAGCCGTGTAAAAACGTCAGCGAGTAAAAAGTGAGCTGGAAAAGGATAACAAAAAAGTGAAAACAAAAGGAAACCAAAACCAAGAGGAAATAAAACTGAATAAAAATAAAAAAGGGCCACCCCCTACATGAGGTGACCTTTGCCACCCAAACTATAAATAGTCCACCCATAAAAAGCTACCCAACAACACGGCGAAGAGAGTGAAATCGTTTAATTGGATTCTCGCCCACCTTGACTCATTCGGATACAATCAACAACCGCCCGAGTGACCCCCTCACAGGTGAGCAACATTAAAAACAGGAAATAATCTATAATTTGAGTACATTTCCTTAGTCCCGACCATTTCTCGGAATTTCCCTATCTGGGGTCAAGGACAAAGGTGGCAAGGGCAGATAAGCGGTTACTCGAATTTGTATTCCATTTTCACGGACAGTCGGTCCTAATCAGTGTTTTACAATGCTTACACATGCCACATAACATTTTACAAGGGGAAAACCCATTCTATATACTGACACCTATAAGAAGCTATACTTAAGCTAAGATCTCTTAATCGCAGTTAAGAACCTTACAAATTTGGTCTTGGAGTGTCCCTTGTAGGTTTAATTACTCGCCTCAATAGCAAATTAATTTGCCAATCAAATACGATAAATGACCTGAAATCTTATCTTATCAACCATGTTATGCCCATATAAAAATTCACCCCGAACAGAAATATAAATAAGTCGACTGTAATTTAGCCGGACTAAATGCACGTTTTTTTGGTGTCAATCAGCTCAACATTTATGTGATATCAGCATGGCAAGTCTAAAAATCATGTCTAAATGTCTAACATCAAATGGGAAGATACTCGTATCTTAAGCCCTCGATAAAAATTTCAACAGTTGCTTGATTTACCGCATTTTTCGCAACCATTTTATCATTGCAAATAGAAAGTCAAGCACTAGATTCAAAATTGATAGACCATCGAAACACGATAAATTAGTGAAAACCTTATCTTATCAACCCGTTCAGCGCGGTATAAATCAACAATTTCGAATTAGTTAAATTTCTCTGTAATCACGTTGTTGACATATAATTAATTTCAATTTCATGATGCCGCTGCCGTTTTCGCCAGCTCTTGTAAATGCTGTTGATTTTGGTGTTTCCTGTGCATTGATGACTACGGTAAAATGTGCTGAAAATTCGTATTCGCATTCGTATTTATTTTGTCCCATTCTGTTCCGAACCCATGTCGGTGAACATAGGGGCTGCCTCAGCACTCTGCCATTTATTACCAGTTTGCCAGTTTAGTAATCGCAATCGGGGAAACATTGCCCTGTCAATTGCCGCAACTATAAGCGAGTGTAAACAAATGATTGCGCACACACAATAATGCCAAAGAAACTGAATTATCAATGACTGCGCATTTATTCGCAAGTAAACAAGCGAATATCCAGGCTTTTCGAGCGGAGGTTGCTAATCAATAAAAATATATACAAATTTCAAAAATAATGGCGCACGTATTTCAGGCCACTTTAATGACTGGGCAACCCATACAATCGCCCATATAATTGACTACTTCCGAGTTTCAAGCAGCACTCGATCTTTGAGATCTTTGCATTCGGAGCACCGTACAAACTGATTCATTTCACAGATGGGTCGTACTAACTGCCTGTGGTTTTGTGTTAATTGCCATGCCTGAGATAACAAAAACTAATATGACTGCGAATGACGAGCTTTCTCTTTCGCTCGGGTTCTGGATGTCGTTCTATCTAGCTATCTATCTAACAATCCGAATCTGATATCTTTCGGGATGGGCTGCGGACTCAGCAAATTCTACCAGTCATCGCTGGCATTTAATTGAGTCATGTCAGGAGTATTAGGCATAATTAAAAGGCAATTTCATTCAAAGCCGCAGCATTATGTGTGTGCCAAGTGCCATGATATCTAATATCTGTGGCACAACAGGTTCGCATTTCGCACTGCACTACGAAATTAATTAAATTGTTACTCAAACCGTTTTCTGATTGACTGACAGACGGCCTGACACTTGACGCGATGAATGAATGGATTGCCATGGCATGAAATAGCCTGCAACTGGAACTGGTCAGTCTGGATCTGCATCTACTCCACTCGAGTGGTGCGAGTATGTGTATTCAGATACATTTACTGCAAACTATGCGACTGCACAAACAGAACACGGTCTCAGCCATTTGGCATTTGAATGGGCCCAGTGGCGATTACGCAAAAATGCAAATGCGAGAAGTTATATTAGGAAACAGAAAGCATTTGCAGCTCTCATTACAACAATCACACTCGGAGTGCCTGCATTTTTCACGCTAATAGCGAGTGTAAACAAATAATGAAAATAATGTATATAATGCAATGGCCATACTGAAAACAGAATGCATAAACAAATGGGTCCATAGCCCATTAATCGCCGCTCCGCATATCTGATACGCTTAATCACCGATTTTTCGATAAATGGCATATGTTATTACTCAATAAAAAAATGTATTCTATTATGAAAATTTTAAGTGAATTCCTAAGCAAAAACCGGATGTACTCGTATAAATAAATTTGTCATTACTTATAAATAATACAGAGTATTATTATGGTATGTAATTATTTCTTAATAGGGCACAACAATTAAATAAATATTTTTATCAAGCCAAATTTTTTAAAAAAATGTTTTAAATATTTTTTTATCATCAAAGCGTGCTCGAAAATAATATGAAATGTTACTCAGACTCTGTTTGAAAATAAAAACACTGTCTATTAAAAATACTTAACAATTGTTATAAGCTTTTTTGTTCAAATTCTAACCGAGTGATCAATATCAATTTGCCAATCAAGGCCCTCATTTGCCAGCCAGCTCAGGTGATTATTAATTAAGAGCCGAGCTTTCTTCCCAGCCTGAAAGAGCCGGCGAGCGGCTGGAGCTCAAAGAGCCGGTCCCCCATACCCCATCCCATGCCCCTGCTCCCGAGTTGGACTTACAACTAAGCAGACAAGTACCCGGCAGAGCAGACAGCTCCGGCAAATAAGCCACCAGCAACCAGTCCGCTCCTCGATGTCAGGCGGCGATTACAGCTGATGAGTCACGCAATTAAACGGGCCCATTAATGTGAAATGAGGGGCACTTGTGGGGCGGCAAGCGGGGGAGCTGGGGGAGAGGGGGAGCTCCACATCTCGTAGTCGTAGTGCCGCAAAAGTGCGACAAGAGTCAAGCCATTAGGAACGTTTCTAATCAGCGATTTCGAGGAGTCGACTCAATCAGGTCCAAGTGACGCAGTTCGTCGTCATTCACTTAAGCGGCCGGCCAGTTGCGAAAAATAAAACTAATTAGCCAGTGGCAGTAGCGGCAGTAGCGGCAGTGCCGCTGCAGCCTGCAATTCAATCAATATCAATTGGCAAATTAGCATTCGCATTTTGCATTCAAGTCTCCACTTAAGTGCCTGCAGCTCCTCGCAGAAGGGGGTAAAGTTGGGCCGCAAGCGAGTTTGGCAGCTACATACGGGTATGTACGAGTGTGTGTATCTAATTAATAATTATGAGCAATGTGAGCCAGCTGGTTGCTTTTTGGCTTTATCTGCAGACATACAGAGCGACCAGTTCAGACGGCTTCCGCACTTTGCCGGCGCACAAAAAATGTAACTTTTAATTGAAAACTCTTTTGGTCGGCGCAAAAGTGCATATGCAGATGTATATGCTCAATTGCTTTCGAAAAATCCGCACACATGCGTTTGTACATATAAATAAATTTGCACAGCATACATATATAGGTATGTGACTTTGTTGTCGAGCCGAACTGGCCGACATCAAATCAAATTGAATGAGCGCGGTCCATTACTCTCCCAGTGATTTTGCCAAATGACTTCATTTCATATCAATTAAGTTTATTGTGCCGGTGTCTGATGTGTCTGCTGTGTCCCTCTGTGGCCCATAAAAAAGCGCATGCCGCCTTTACACACACAGAAACAGACTGAAATGCGTGCGGATACTCAGATACTTGGATACTCGGATACTCGGATACATTGCCCTGCCCTGAAAACCAAACGAACCTGATTCATGCGCTTAATTGCTTTGGAGCGTGTGCCGCCTGCCGTCGCACACAAAAAGGTATGGAATCGAATTGTGCACACAAATGGGAGCAGCAAAACTTATGAGTTCGCCATTGTATTTGTATCTTTGGCTGTATCCGTATCCGTGTCTGTGTCCGTGTCCGTGTGTTTGCCCGGTGTATCTGTAGCTTTGTATCTGCAGCCGCGCGCTGGCTTTCAATAAAAATGACAACAACAATTTTCGACAGTAGGTAGGAGCAAAAGAAACGCTCATAAAATATGCCCAGCGAAACTGGGCACGCCAATCCATCTACAGAGCAGCAGCAGCATCTACCCTACAGATGGGATAACGAAAGGGAAATTGAATAAAAACAAGAAAAAATACTCGGCGCACACAACGGGCATTAAATGAAATTCAAATGGAAAGATCAACATCGGATAGCAGACCGGGTTGCATGCCTCACAATCTACGGATTAATATCCACGGCAACGTTTCCTTTTGCTTACCTTTGCCACGGGTTGAAAACGGGAGCTCTTCAAAATTGCCACAGTCAACAGATTTTCGTATTATACTGCTGAAAAACCTTTTTTCTAACTTATCATAACATTAAAACAAATAAGAACAAAAAAGCATCCCATTATAGGCATCAGCCCTATTAATTTTTTGAATACTTAATTTCATCTTATCAATTTCAAGTTACTGTCTGGAATTCTACTACGAATGTATGGAATTATAGTGAAATAATGAATGATTGTAACGTAATCAAAACAACTAATTACTTCCAACGCTTGATACTTCCAGTTTGTAATGTTCGCTATAGTGAAGGGAAATTCAATTTATTTCATTGCTACTCGCTTAAGCAAAATCTTTTGAAAATGGAAATTAGCTGTTTATCTTTCTTCTGATCTTCCCACGAGATTAGCGATACTGGGTTGAACCGCTTACCTGGGCTAATTACGTATAATATCATTCGATGTCGATACTGCCATTTTCTGCTTATCTGCGACCGAAGCCCGGCCCGCATTTCTCGTGTGTGCTCATTATAACCCTAATTTCGGTGACCCACAAATGCAATTAAGTTGCGATAAAAATAGACATTTTATATGATTTCCCTCCATCAAGCAGTCACTCACTCAGTCAGTCAGTCAGTCAGTCAGTCAGTTAGGCATTCCGTCGGCCTGTCGGCTAGTTGTGCCGCCAATCAATCTTAGATATTGTCGCTCTGTCGTACTGATGTTGATAAGAAACGACAACGCAATTAGATAGCCCGCTCCACAGATAAGGCATTACGAATATGAGGCACGAGCGGCACAGAAACACCTATTTTATGGAACTAAAATAGCCCGTCGCCCAGAGTCGAACTGCTCTTCTTTTCCAGAGAAATTTCATTTATGGTTGCGCCTAATTAGCTCGGCAAATAAGCGATAGCACTTTAAACTTCAAACAAATACGCAAACCGAGAGCTTTTTGAATGTGCGCGCCAAACCGAAACTTTCCAGCACTTTTTCGCCGGCTTTACAGCACTTCTGGGCCCCAAACAGCTGATCTTTCTCAGCAATTTGTTTGCTGCACGTTGTCGGGTAATTTTGTTTGGGCGAAATAAACAAAAATAAATGCGGGAAAAGCGAGAAGACTACGTTATCTTTTGTGTAGCCATAGCAACCGGTGTGTTTGTCGTTTGAGTAACGTTTAACATTCTCGTTTTCCAGCCTAGAAATCTGTGAAAAGCAGCTTAACGAAAAGCACACGCGCAGCTCGAGAAACCGGCGAAAAAAGTATCTTTGGAATTCTGGAGCAGAGATTGGATGAGAATCCACTGCAATAAATATCTGCACTTCGAAAAACATAAAGCCACAACGGCAAAAATACATGAAAATACGGAAAATTATATTTGAAAGCCACTGAATTAGAGCTGAGATCAAATAAGAAAATGGCTGTACTCTAGAAAATCAGGAGCCCGCAGCAAGTAAGATACGTTTTTGAATTAGGAAGATTCAAAAAGCAGCTCCCAATTAATCGAAGTTTGATTTTGACCAAAAACCATTTATATCTTTTGCCGCTCATTAACTCAAAAAGAGCCGAGCATAAATCTTATTTAAGGAATCGACTGCTGAAGAATATTGAACCCAATAAAAAATAAATTATTGAAGAAATATTGAATAGAACCCCAGAATGGGCTTCGATATTGATACCCAAAAGATCTGCAAGGAACTGGAGAGCTCCGACCGACGCCTGAAGACCACAGTGCTGGAGCAACTGCGCCAAAAGTGCGAAAATGGAGCAGAAAACGCGACCGCTGACCAAATAGCCCAGGTCTTCGATCAACTGTACCTGCATCTGTTGAAATGCTACGAGGATAGATTCGAAAGCGTTCGCGATCGTGCCGTTCAAGCGGTAAATGCCTTCTTGGCAGGTCTTCCGCCCACGGACTTCCACCTGATGAATGTGGTGTCCACTTTAGCGGAGCGGATGGGAAAGGCCGAAACCGTGGAGCCCAGCGAGGAAATCCGTCTGCTCTACATTAAGCAACTAAATTTGATGGTTTGCCTGTATGCCAAGATGGGAAATGTGGGCGTCTTCAGGGAGTGCTATCCCCTGGTGGTGAAAATTCTGATCAAGTCCATCAAGGATGACTATCCGGTGGTTCAGCGCGAAGGCTGCTCCACCGTGGTGAACCTCGCTGGTGTGGCTGATACACAGGAGTTTCGTCCCTCTACGGAATCCCTACTGGTACCTCTTTACGGAATGTTGAATCACAAGCATGCACAGGCCAGGATCTCGGCCATCGAGGCCATCGGCAGGCTGAGTCTGCTCATGGACGCCAGTGGCGATGCGATGAGGAGGCTTTTCAATGAGGTATCGCCCCTGCTCATGGACACTATGCCCTTGGTTCGTCGTGAAGTCGGTCAGATGGGCATTCTTATGCTAATGGAGCTGTTGGATCGCTACTCGTTCTTTGAGAGAATTCTGCCCCTGGTTCTTTGTTGCCTAAAAGACGAATCTCCGGAGGTACTGAATCACATATACCCGCAATGGCTCAAGTGTGGCGCACAGTATTTCAATGAAAACGAAGCCGAGTTGTCACAGCAGGAAATAAGCGATCTGCCAGTTGAGAATTATCCGAAAGATGTCAAGCGTCCAACCATAGGCTGTCGTGCCTTGGTGCAACGATCTTTGAGACTGTTGCAACTCATTACCCGGGAAACAAGCGACTGGAAGGATAACGTTCGCCTTCACGCCCTGAAGCTTCTCTATCAATTTGTTTTGCATGCCGAGGCTGCCATGACGGCCAAGTTCTTCGAGATCTATGGTGATTTGGCCCATGCCTGTGTTGATCCTGTGGCAGAAGTCAATGCGGAAGCCGCCAAGGTGACCGATTTGATGGGTCGTCTGTTGTCCTACGAGGCCTGGATAGATCATGGCTTCGACGGCCTGGAACGAAATGCCCGGGAGTCCTATATGAGATGTTTCTACCACATGTTCAACGCCTCCCTGGGTGGCACCTATGAGCAGCTAATGCGGTTGGCCAACCTCCTTCGCAGTACCGATTACTCTCACACTCTGAAGCCAGGTTTTCAGCACTACATACTGAAACTATTGGATACCATATTGGATAAATCGCTGAAGATCACGGCGGGCCAGAACGAGCTGGAAGATCTCTACGAGTCAGTATATGTAACTGGCATAAAAGTAATGGCACTTTCGAACTCTCTCGAAAGCAATGGAAACGAAGATGTCAATTTCGGCCAAATGCTGATCGAAAGACTTGTGACACTTCTCAACTCTTCGGTTGGCAAGACTCACGAACGTTGGTTTCATTTGGCCCTGAAGGACGTGGAGAATCTGGATGCGGCTTTGGAAGATAATGCTGAACCAGTGATGCTGTTGGATGGCTTGATAAATATGTGCCTCATTCGAGCTACCTATGTGCACGATCTTATCGAGAAAGTGAAAGTCGTCTTTGCACATTGCTGCGATAGTGCTCAAGTGAAAATCTTCAGCAGTCTCTCGTTAGCAACTCTATTTTGGTCGAAAACGATGAACATAGAGCGGGAGCGCAGCACCCAGATGTTAAGTGAATTCGTATCGCAGATTGTGGAACCCTATCTGACCTGGAAAGCAGGATCCAATGCCGAGGCCATGAGATCCCTGGCCATGGCTACACTATGTGCTCTGGCCCAGGGAGCCGAGTCAGAATCCGTGGAAGTGCTACCCTCTCTGGCCAAATACATGCCGAGCCTGCTCGAGGATCGCAATGTCACCACCCGGCACTATGCGATCAAGGCGGTTGTATATTTCCGGGAAATGTCTGTAGAAGATTTGAAACCATTAGCTTATGCCACCATGCAGCGCATGGATGATCCTTCGGCTGGCATTCGCATCCTGGCTGCGTTGGCTGTGGGTAAACTGAAGCCGAAGTTCAGCGAGGCGGACAGTGAAAAGGAACATGAACGGGAGGTGTGGGATGCTATTGTAAAACGTGCCATGGATCTGCTGTTGCTCTATCACGAAAGTCCCGAGAAGGAAATGAAGGCTGCTGTGGAGGTTACCCTAAAGGTCTTGGCCCAATCTCATCCAGAAGCCTGGGAGGAACGCTTCCAACGGGCTTTACCAATGGTTCAGAAAAAGGATCAACTCCACGAACTCTACAAGAGGCTAACCATCAATGAAGCTCCAGATCCTCACGTTCCATTAGCATCCGAGGATTAGGGCACACTTTACATATTATTTAAAAATTGATTAAGTGTTTAGTTTTATTTTACCGCATTGCAAATTCGTCTTGCAACTTCTAAAGCATGTACTTAAGCTTTTTAGTAAACAAATTTAGGTTTAATTTGGTTCTTAACAATTTAATGCTCTTTTACAAGCTGAAGTTTATACTCGAGCAATTGATTCAATTAACCCATATACATACTTGTATATCCACTTCTAAGTACCGAGGACTATTGTAAACAAAAGCTCCAAACTATAAAGTAAAATCTGTGCAAGCGAAAATTCACAAATCTCTTGTTTATTTTGCCATGGCCAAAAATAATCCGTTTGATGATGAATTGGGTTGCAAATAGGGGAAGCAAATCAAGCAGCAAAAAGCATCAAAAGCTGCAATTAATATACAGCACAGCATTGGGTTAATACTTGGTAAATATACGCGTTTAAAAATAGCCGGAAATGGGAACAGAATTCATATTGACGGAAAAAAAACAACTAAGAGCAGATTGGAATATGTGGCAAATTGTTTTATGTTTGGCCATAATATTGAAAATTCCTTCGGGTATAGCAAAAAGTCAATTAGCAGCGAAAATACATTTTCCAGACCACTCAATCAACCACCAATATTAGTAACAATTAAAGGCTAAGCGCACATGAAGTTGCGGTTCCCTCGAAAGGTTTTTGTAACATCAAATTACCAATTTAATTGGGCACACTGTGTGTTTTAATAATCCGCAGGATTAACGAACCCTGCCCGTGTTGCATAACTGCAGGGGCATTCATTGCCGCAACTGAAGGATTTTTCAATCATCAGCAGGTCGACCCAATTCCCTGGCAACGGAAAAACTAATTTGCGCGCCATGTAGCCGAAAAGTTTGCACACTATATTAAAACAATTTGTCAAATTAGGCAAAATGTACAACTTTCTAATTAAAATACCCACATGCGCGCACACAAGCTCCTGAATCCTTGGTTTTCGGGGATGAGGGCACACACGCACAGTGGGCCCTCGAATGTGGGAAGCTACAGTGTAAGGCACCTTACTAAAATGTTTATTTGGAGTCGAGGAACATAGCATAAAATGCACAGTAAAACTAAAAACTGAGGAAAGGAATGAAAGATATAGGATTATTAAAAATTTTGTTTATTCTTTTAATTAGTTTAATGAAATATGAATACGAATGAGCTGCCCAAATGCTTCCACTCGCAGAGGCTCCACTGTAGAAACATTCGCATATCGACAAAGTTCGGATGGCGCCATTTCAAGTGACTGTCTGCATCTCTTTCTGTGCACTTAATTGCTGGCAAATGAGCGTCAGGAGCTTTTTGCCTGTTTACTGATGGAAATGGGGAATGATATAAAATACACATATGTATGTATAGTGCACATGTGTGTGTGTGCGTGGGGCAAACACAACCAAAATGACTAACTGCAAGTAAATGTAAGCAAAAGCAACCGTGTGGATATCCTTGGCTGATTTGCACACCTAATTAATTTTATTTCACATTTTCGCCGCGGCTAATTATTACATATTTTGGCAATTAGCGACGCTCTTCATCGCCAGCCTTGATCTTTATGGCAGGATATATTAAATTAAACTAAATGCCAGGGTCAGAACGAGTTGCGGGCGGTGTTGGCCAGCTCTGCGCATTGTTATGGCCAAGCACATTTAACTAATTATGCCGAACTCCGGGCATCAAAGACAGTCGACTGTAGATTTCGCAAACGAGGCGGACTCGCAGAGGGCGGCGGCCACCCACAGACGTCAGTTGTCAGTTTAATTAATCCCTTTCAGTGGCAGACAGAGCCCGAGCTGCAGCTGCACTGAGCGAAATAGTGGCAATACCAAGAACTCTCATATCAACATAGAAAATCGAATGTATAAGCTGCATATAGCATTATGATTACCGCTTGAAACTACAGGAATTATCAGGAATTATTAGTTTGGCCACACTTTCGCGCCGTGTAGCGCGGATGGCACACGGCAAATAAACAGTTATAAATAGCAGCCAGCAGCAGAGCAGCGAACCTGGCCAAGGACCACCGACAACTTCATCCTCATCGCCGCCGCTTGTGGCGCACAAATTAAATGCTACATTCAATGCCATTTCGAAATCATTTCGAGTGGCCCGGCCCAGTGGGTTTTTGACTGGGCTCGGATGGGTGGGTTATCTGGTGGGTTTTTTGGGTGGCGCTCGGGCTGGCTGGACCGTCTGAAGGACGCACAAAAGTTGCCAGCGCTCGACTTCTGCCGCAATTGAATTTCACTGGGGCACAAAAAATAAAAAAATAAGTTAAGCCGCATGCCTTCTGCCCGCCCCCTTTTTATCCAACGCTCTCCACTTTCTGTGCGCTTGCAATTTGAAAATTACTTTCATTACGTTTAAAAGTTCATTAAAATTTCACATCCCCGAACCGTCCATTTTCCTTGCCCATTTCCCATTTCCCATTTCCCCTTTCCCATTCGGCAGTTGTCAGTTGTCGTATATATTTGCACGCTTGACTGGCCCGGAAAAAAGCGAGTGAGTTTTATAAATAAATATCTACCAAATGGCTGACCTATTTGGCCGGCAAATACATAGATGGCCATGATATTTTGACCTCATCGACGATTTCGTTAATTGAGATGCTTTTCGCTTCTGGCTGCAGCCTGCATTATGCAAGCAAATTAAACGGGCTTACGTAACAATTAATCCACTGCCATGGCAACTGGAATTGAGTAACAATGTCCTGGCCAATGGCAAAGGCCAAATGTGATACAGTGAGGAAATAGTTACTGCTTAATGACAGCCAGAAAGGCCATAATATATTCTGAGTAATCTTCTGAGTAATAGCAATCCCAGATGGTTAAGTTGTAAAAGAGCTCTTGTTGTTACTCAACTTTAAGCTAGCATACCTAGTTCGCTGGAGCTGGCAAGCAGCAGAAATTGTTCTCAGTGCAGCGCCCAATAAAACCTTCGCGAACAAATGGGCAGCGATGAGCGATGAACGATAATTAAATACCGCCTCATGCTCGAGTTACCATCCTTATCCTTATCCTCATCGTCATCGTCATCGTTATCCTGCCGAAACTTTGAGTGGCGCTCTTAGCAATTAGGGTGCTGCCAGTGGCTACCACTAATAAAAATGGGCGGGGTCACTGGGGGCGGAGGCGGAGGCGGGTTCTGGTGGCAGCCTTGTCATCAAGTTGGAACCCGGTGGAAGTTCTCTTCATTCGAGCGGAGTTCGCTTCATTTGCTCGCAGCCTCGCCCGTTTCCACTTAAATGCTTAATTATAATTGAGTTTTATGTACGGCAAGAGGAAAAACTGTCTCTGAGCAAAGGAGAAGCCAAGGCCAAAAACAGAAGCAGCAGCAGAAGCAGCAGCAGTAGCATTAGCAGCAGTGCCTTCCTGCCAGCACACTTGAAATTAAATACAAATAATCTTTTGACTCCTTGTTGGAGCCCCCTGGCTGCTCCGCGGCGAGGGGAGTCCTCTGATCCGCTCCCACTTGGCGTTGTTTTAATTACGTCTTAATGCCAACGCTTAAATGGATGGACTGGAGCGCCTTTCTGCTCCGGACGGACGGAGGAGGGTTCAATGCCTTGCGCGCTGTGCGTATCAATTCGGCGTTAATTGCTCGCCAGTCGCCCAGCTTCACTCCGCGTCCAGCTCCGCGAATCCCGCCCTGCATTTTCTTCGATCGGATTAACTGGAGTGGTGCGAACGCCATTTCGGCGAGGCTTTTATTGATTTTTGTGCAAAGCAAGCAGTTCCCAGAACACTGGCACCAAAGGGTTAATTGCGTGCAACAAAGCCCGCGAAATGACACAGGTTCTAAAACAATCTTTCACCTAAACCTAGTTGAGCTAAGCTCCTAGCCAACTATTTTTGGTCTTTAATCATTGCAAAAATATGAAAGCACGCAATGTCCTAAGAAGGCAATAAATGTATCTCGGGATGAGCAGATACTTTTTACAGGGCTCTAAACCACTGTATTCGATTGTGCTTAATTATGGGAATCTTGCCAGACAATAAACGAAAGTCTGAGCTGGGGATGGCTACTGGTGGTGGAGATTGGCATGGGGAAGGGGATGGGGCAGCATCGACAGCATCGGAAAATGCTCATCAAGGAGCGGTGCCGGCAGCCAGACGAGCACCATCAAGTGCCATCGGGCCACTCACTCGCTGGAGAGCTACGACTTCGACTTGGCCATGTATCATTATTATTATGATGATGATGCCGGCGAGTGTTTATTTTTGGGAGCCGGGCGATCTGGGAGCGGGGGCACAGTAGGCAGCGCCAGCAGTTTTTGTTAATGTTCGCATTAATGTTGTCTTACTGCGCCGGCTCTCATTTACTGCGAAATGCCGAGGAACGGGTGGCGGTTGGTGGGCGGGGAGCGGGGAGCTGGCGACTGATGGCAACGTTGCTGGCATTAATTAAGCATGTTTGACTGTGAATGTCAACAGCAGAAATTGCCGTTCTGTGCATGTGTTTGTCCCTCTTGGTGCACACTCGGAGAAATGGGGGCTGCAAGCGGAGTTCAAAAAAAGTGGAACTGCCATAAATTATAAGCATACAAAAATTCTTAATATATCAAATATTATACTTAGAACTTGCATTTGCTTTTGAAGAATTTGAAAGATATTGGCCATATTATGGAGTATTGTCTTCCGCCTTTCGATTGATAACTCTGCCGCTTTGGCGACTTCGCTTTCGTGGCTCATCTACGATCAACGCCGAAGCAGCACCGCATTTCGCGCAGTGTAATTGTGCGAGTGCGTTGACAGGCGGACGAGTGACGGGCTTTTGCACGGAGCGTGACAACTGCGCCCGGCCTCCTCCACCTCCAGCCCGCCCCTTTCACTATCGGCTTTCTCCAGTGTCGCTTGCGCTACGTAATTAAGTGACGCAAGTCAATTTATTTTGCAATTAATCATTAATTTATGCGTACGGAAGTATAATTGACTCATATTTCAACCGGCCGGGCCGAGATCGCTTCGCGCAGAGATGCCAAATATTGGATGACACGAGGGTCATCATATTTCGATTACCTTTTTGCAAAAAAAAAGAGCTGAACAAACCTTTGCTCTTCGTTCTACTTAATTCCCACGAATTTACTTTCTCATTTGCGTAAGTCAATGATTTGCGCACTGTGCACGCAGCCAACTGAGTGACGTTATTGTTTTTTGACCCTTTGCCCAAAGGGTTCCATCTCAACGCGATCTTAAAGACCTACGATTAGAAAACCTCCATTATCTGCCTTGCACACACTACAGTTTAATCACAGTTTGCATTTCAAAC